AGAGAGAGAGAGAGAGGGAGGGAGAGAGAGAGAGAGAGCAATCGCAAAAATAATTTCATTTCAACTGATCAGATGATTGATACAGTATTTTAACGTAAAAATTGTTTGTTTTATGATATTCTGTGCATTAATAGCACTTGTATGAATTAAGTTATATACTGTATTGTAATTAAATAAATAATAATTTATATTTAATTACAAACCTATTAATGAATATATCTCATAATTTATGGCATTGTTGTTTAATTAACATAATTCAATTGAAAATTAATTTCTTATATAATTTTTGATTTAATAACATGTCCTTAGATTAATGAATACGATTAAACATTTAGATACAAATACAAAATGTAATCCTTTTAAAGGTTTCATTAGAAATGAAAATTAATTTTAAAGTCAAAAACTAAACATATGATCAAAAAATTAAAAGCGTATCAATTAATTGAATAAACAAAAATAAAATACACCTATTAAATATGTTTTACCAAACAAAAATTAATCTATATTTATTTATAAATAAATTAAAAATTATAAAATTTCGTATTGGTATATTTATTCGTATAAAACAAAAAAGTTTTTATAAAAACCTTATAAAAATCTAATAATTAAGCAATTATAAATAATTAAAACAATTATCAGGGACATCAATTTATCACTGATTAATTAATATCTTACAGTAATATGTTAAATGTATTTAAAAATTATTAAAAGTTTAAGACTTTGATAAAAAAACAGAAAAATCAAACATAAGATAATTATCAACAAAACAAATTAGAGGTACTTATGGTCACCGCTGGGAACCGGTCTGTGGCTACTGCTGGGGATGACATACGCCTGCGTCGGATGAGGTCTGTCACCACCACTTGATCCATAATCACAGCACCGGATCACCGCAGACACCGACATCAGGAACAGTATAACCACACCAATCGTCTCCAGAATCAACAGCAAATCTATGAGATAATTAAGACATTAGCCACTGACATAAACGGTACTATCCATGGGCTCTAATATGTCTGATACCCGGCTGACATAACACAGTGCCTCTGAAGCCGCGGAAGTGATGGCAATCGCCGGACGGCACCGATAGTTGTTTGACGGCTGACACGATTGGTGTGACGATCCGGTTGATGGTCTCAGTGTCACCGCACGTTTCGCCCACGTGCTCAACGATACAGTCCCTCAGGTGGTTGAGTGCACAGCAATAGCCACGACTCCAGGCCTTCGGGACAAGGTATGGCGGGTGTTCAAGTTGCTGGATGAAAGTGTCGCCACATTTTCCGATCTCATTCATGGACATCACGGCACACAGGGGTGTAATCACATCCGACAAGTCCAGCCCAGTGACCACCACAGGTGTGGTGATTATGATGGCTATTATCAGTGGTGGGAACGTCATGGCAATAGGTTTGTGGTGATTATCTTGTGGTTACTTATGATGGGAATAGTGTTCATTGAAATGCACTTTCAGTGTATTATATTAATATGATTTAACATACTTTGCATAAAGTTGTAGACACTATTAGCTTGGTAATTTTTGATTATTCCTATATAACTTTTATGCGAAAGTAATCACATACTGTATAATTTGACAAATAAATTGTAAGTGTATTTTGTTGCTTGATCACAATTTGTTTCAATAGACTACGAGTAGTAGTGACTAATATATTTCGTAAGAAATACTGTGTTTTAAACTTATTTTGAGTTTATTTCAAATGTTTGTTAATTTGATTATTTTCTTAAGCGGTATTTTCAATAGAAAATTATTGGATAATAGCCTTAATTGTATCCACAAAATAAAGCTACAATTTATAAACATATAAATATCCTAAACACCAGTCTTTCATATACTGTATTTCCCTACAAAATGTAATCCCTTTAAAATATTTCATTAGAAATGCAAATCAAATATAAAATCAAAAAATAAAAGTGTATCAAATAATTGAATATTGCAAAAACAAAAATAAATACCAGTCAAAATAATGTGTACATTTATTTATAAATCAAAAAAGTATAAAACATTATTCATACACACAAAAAATAATTTAACAAGTTGTAATTATTAATCTCAAAAAATCTATTATTAATTAAACAATTATAATTATTAATAATAACTTACCATAACTATTCAGTGGACAAACCTATTAAACAGCATCTGATAGGGTGGGACACCACCACGTAATCTACGATAACAGCACCAGATCACCGCCGACACCGACATCAGGAACAGTAAAACCACAACAATCGCCTCCACAATCAACAGCCAATCTATAAGACAATTAAGACATTAGACACTGACATAAGCGGTACTATCCATAAATCCTAAGATATCCGATACCCGGCTGACACAACACAGCGCCTCGAAAGCCCCGGTAGTCGTCGCAATCATCGGACGGCGTGGATATGCCATTGAGCGCCGCGTAAAACATACTCTTGGCTGGTCGGGCGCCTACAACCAATCCATTCATGTAGTTTACGCCGCATTTGTCGCCCACGTGTTCAACCACGCAGTCCTTCAGGCGCGTGAGTGCGCAACAGTAGCCACGAGTGCCGTTTGGCTCCGGGACCTGACTCTTGGAGTCTTTGAGCTCTTGAGTGAACGCCTGGGCGCACATCCGGAAGCGGTCGACGCACTGGGCGTAGGGATCCAATATGTCAGAGCCATAGACCATAAGTGGTGTGGCGGTTATCATCGCTACGATATGTGGCGCGCACCTCATGATAAGGGTGACCAAGTTGTGGTGATATACATTGAATATACCATTCATAGACATCGTGGCGCACACGGGTGTAATCACATCCAACAGGTCCAGCCCAGTGACCACCACAGGTGTGGTGATTATTATGGCTATTATTAGTGGTGGGAACGCCATGACAATAGGTTTGTGGTGATTATCTTGTGGTCACTTATGAGGGAATTATATGATTTAGACATACTTTATTTAACAGTTTATACACTTTTAGCTAGATAATTTTAGACAATTTTTTTTAAAACCTTGGTGTGAGAGCAATCACATACTGTATAACTTGTCATAGAAATTGTGTGTGTATTTTGTTGCTTGATCACAATTTGTTTGAATAGACTACGAGTAGTAGTGACTAATATATTATACCATACGGTACAGTATGTCGTGAGAAATACTGTGTATAAACTTATTTAGAGTTTATTTCAAATGTTTATTAATTTGATTATTTTCTTAAGCGCTATTTCAATAGAAAATGACATAAAAGCCTGAATTATATTCACAAAATAAAGCTATAATTTATAAACCTATTAATATCCTGAACACCAGTCTCTCATATACGGTATTTCCCTACAAAATGTTTGTATTTATTTCCCTTTTGAAACATTTCATTAGAAATGCAAATCAAATGCAAAATCAAAAACTAAAAATGTTAGCAAAAAATTAAAAGTGTATTAAATAATTGCAAATTGCAAATCACAAAATAAATAAATACCGGTATTCATAATTTGTACATTTATTTATAAATCAAAAAACATATAAAACATTATTCATACACATATAAAATCATTTAAAAAGTTGCAATTATTTATCACAAAAAATCTATTATTAATTAAACAAAAATATGATTATTAATACCATAACTATTCAGTGGAATAATATAATTAGCATTCATTAATGGTATCTAAAATGTATTTAAAGTATTTAAAAAATAGTTTGTAATTACTTATCATAAAAAAATCTACTATTAATTAAACAACTACCGTATATAGTGATTAATAATAACTAATCAGGGACATCGTAATTAGCATTGATTACTGATTATCTAAATTTTAGTTTTAAAAATGTATCAAAAGTTATTGAAAAAAGTATTAAAAGTCTTAAGACTTAGAGAAAAAAAAATTAAAAACAAGATAATTATCACCGAAACTAATGGTCGACATTATGGGTACTTCTGGTCACCGTTGGGAACCGGTCTGTAGTTATTACCAGTACTCGGGATGACAAACGACTGCATCGGATAGGGTCGGATACCACCTCTTGATCCACAACAGCAGCACCGGATCACCGCCGACACCGACATCAGCAGTAGTATCACAACACCGATCGCCTCCACAATCAACAGCCAATCTATAAGACAATTAAGACATTAGACACTGACATGAATGGTACTATCAATGGGTCCTAAGAGGTCCGATACCCGGTTGACACAACACAGTGCCTCTGAAGCCGTCAAAGTCATCGCAATCACCCGATGGCGTGGATATGACTTTGAGTGTCGCGACTAACGGCGCCACCAATTGTCTGATGGTCTTCGTGTCACCGCATTTGTCGCCCACGTGTTCAACGATACAGTCCTTCAGGTGATTGAAAGCACAGCAATAGCCACGAGTCTCGTAGCTCTTGAGGACCTGATTGCGGGAGTCTTTGAGCTCTTGAGTGAACCTCTGGACACACTTCGGGATAGCGGGCGCCGACATTGCGGTGCATAGG